TTGGAACTATGGTGTATATACAGACTCCGCAGACACCAGTCGGTTTTGGTGACCTTGATCCCATTTTCAAGGTCACAGCAGGCAAATCTGCTTTTGGAGTTGGAAAACGGTGTTGCCGCGATATCTCAAGAACTAAACACTGGATTGTCTTCATATTTGGAACTATGGTGTATATACAGACACCGCAGACACCTGTCAGACTTGGTGACCTTGACCCCATTTTCAAGGTCACAGCAGGCAAATCTGTTTTTGGAGTTGGAAAACGGTGTTGCCACAATATCTCAAGAACTAATCGCTGGATTGTCTTCATATTTGGTACTATGGTGTACAGGCGGGGGATATTTCGTCACTCTGTGACAAATACTTGTTCTTTGCTACATTGGATCACACTCTGGCGCAGTGGTGACTTAGCATCGCTCCACTGCCACAGGCTAATTTGCATATCACGTCACTGGACTTTTCTCTTGTTTGTAAACAAACCAACACGCTTTTTAGGAAATCAGAAAAGAACAGACTAATGCAAGTATTTTGGGGCGCTTTACATATTGTTTTGTATATATATATAGATATGCTACTACAACTGCGACAGTGAGTTGCATGACAATACATATGCTATTTACACATTAAAATGACCACATCGCAATATAGCTCTCCGTAGGTTTCGATGACCGCACATGAAGCCCAAAATTATTTTGTCATGCACCTTTCGCATTTGTGGTAGCATATCTAGATCTATATTATTTTGAAAAACAATATCTAAAGCTCACCAATAGGTTTGCATTAGGCCAGTCTGTTCTGTTTTCAGAATAAGCGCGTTTGTTTACAAACACGCGAAAGTTCTGTCACGTGATTGTGACATGCAAATTAGCCAATGGCAATGGTGCAATGTGAAGTCATCACTGCGCATGAGTGTGCACGTGGTTCTGAACTCATTCGGAAAATATTGTTTAAATCTGTTTCTTGATTACTATAGCTTTGTTGTGTCAAGATACCAAAGATATACAGATGCAATCTGAATGAAACGAAACGAGTCGAGTCCAGTTTATTTTTAGAAAACTGGGAATTCCTTTCTGTGTGGAAGAGAAACACAGACTGATTTTAGAGTTGAGTGAACAAAGTTTAAACACCTTGTTGCAGGCACAGACTCAGTTGAAGTTATTTTTTTCTAACATTCTTTCTACTGGACACTGGGACCGTCACACTAAACATTTACCGGTCTTTGCCATTTTTTACCGGCCAAAAGCCGGCATATACCGGAGAATGGAAACACTGCCAAGGCGACATAAATGTATCGCCACTTAGCTACCTAAATATAAACATAACTGGCGACCACTTCTGATGTATTTTCTTCAGTATAGTGCAAGCCAAAACTAATTATGTTCCTGTATATACGCATCCCTCGGAGTCTCTTTACAACTGAATTTGATACACAAGAAAATACAGCCATTTGAGATGACAACTGAATAATTGCTAATCTCATTTTCTAATTGTTTGCAAGACCATGTTTATATACATTCATTATTAACAGCTACAGATGAGCAGCGTATTTGCGTCCGGGGTAGAATAGGTCTTCAGCAACCCATGCTTGCCATAAAAGCCGACTATGCTTGTCGTAAGAGGCGACTAACGGGATCGGGTGGTCAGGCTCGCTGACTTGGTTGATGCATCCCTTTTACGGCAAGCATGGGTTGCTGAAGGTCTATTCTACCCCGGATCTTCACGGGTCTCAAGGTGTAAGAGCAAGACGTGTTACCTTGTTGTTGGACCCGGGAAATCCAGGGTAGAATAGGTCTCCAGCAACCCATGCTCGCTGTAAATGCATGTCATCGATCTCAATTGTGTGGATCGATACTCATGATGTCAATCACTGGATTGTCTGGTCCAGATGGGCAAAGTATGTTGTACCAAATAGTGAAAGTTTGTACTTCTTTGAAAATGTCCCTGTACATGAAACTATTTAGTGTTGAAAGATTAACAATGTCTCATGGGATTAGTACGACAGACAGTGCAAGACAGGACATTTTGAAGATCAACAGATCTTCAAATATTTTCTTCAAACATCCCAGTGAGATCTGGTTTAGAATAGGTCCCCAGCGCAATTGTTATTGTTGCAGTGACTTCTTAGATTGTGTGTACCTGTGAAGATCTGGGTAAGAATTGGTCTTCAGCAACCCATGCTTGCAGTTAAAGGCGACTATGCTTAATGGCGTCTGACAGGATCAGGTGGTCAGACTCGCTGACTTGGTTGATGCATGTTGATCACTGGATTGTCTGGTCCAGACTATTATTTACAGACCGCCGTCATGTAGCTTGAATATTGATGAGTGCAGTGTTAAACAGGAAAACATAAATTGATTCTGTGTCATCATACCATGATGTCATGGGATGTTTATAATTGTCACTGGATTGTCTGGTCCAGACTCAATTATCTGCTGGTCTCCATTCATATAGCTGCTATGTATTGCCATGTGCAGCCTTAATTGTCAAGGGAACAAAACACTCAGCGTTAGAAACTGGCACTAGTCCAAGTCCTTTGCCAAACTGCCCAATAGTTAAGGTATCCTAAGGACTAGAAGAAATTTGCCCTTTTTAAGGGTGTTCATATATGTTATCATTGTAAAGACTAGTTGGCTAAAGCTGTTAGTTTCTATTGCTGAACACTATAAGTGTATATTTTTTAAGTGATCCTGCATCTACTGCATTACTTATGCATCTACTGCATGTTTTTGACAGAAAGAAGAGCTGTGTGAAGTCTTGCTGAAGAAGTTGAAATCCTAGATATTTTTTTAAATATTTGTAAATTGTATTCTTATCCTGCATTACTGGGTCTAAACAACTTTTTCTACAGCAAGACTTCACACAGCTCTTCTTTCTGTCAAAAACAAGCAGTAGATGTATATAAAGGAGTAATGCAGGATAAGTATACAAATATAAAAAATATCGCTGACTTTGCTGGTTTGATGTTTATGAGGTTTAAGATCCCTGCGTTGGTACAACACAAAGCTCATCCTTAGGGGCCGACCATTTAATGTTCTGGGCGAGGGGTGGTGTTGGGGCTGTGATTGTTGTAGAAAATTAATTGTCCCCGAAAAAAAAGAATGTTTCACACTTTTGAAAAAAGAAAATGCAAAAAAAATTACCTTGTTCCAAGGTGTTTTTCTCAGAAATGTATTCAGCTTCATAATTTTTATTTAAAAAATGTCTGGTTTTGCAGCTGTAGATGAAAAATATCTAACCTTGACACAAAATCCCAGAATATCAAATTGTTAGTCCTACTGTCTGTAGTAAAGCTGGGGCAGTCGGGTAGTCTAGTGGTGAAATTTGCTCGTCACGTCGAAGACCCTGGTTTCTATTCCCGACATGGGTACAATGTCTGAAGCCCAATTTCTCATGCCCCCCTGTGTGTAAAGCTAGAAGTGGCATAAATCCACATCACTGGCTCGCCGCACACTATCATACATGTAGACTACGCGTTACTGTAGCATTACAGCCACCTCTGACATTGGATGGTCACTCGCTCACCACACACTATCATACATGTAGACTACGCGTTACTGTTGCATAACAGCCACCTCTGACATTGCAGGGTCACTCGCTCACCACACACTATCATAAATGTAGACTACACGTTACTGTTGCATAACGGCCAGCTCTGATGTTACAGGGTCACTCGTTCACAACACACTATCATACATGGTGAGACTACGCGTTACTGTAGCATAACGGCCAGCTCTGATGTTACAGGGTCACTCGTTCACAACACACTATCATACATGTAGACTACGCGTTACTGTAGCATAACAGCCAGCTCTGATGTTACAGGGTCACTCACTCACCACACACTATCATACATGGTGAGACTACGCGTTACTGTAGCATAACGGCCAGCTCTGATGTTACAGGGTCACTCGTTCACAACACACTATCATACATGTAGACTACGCATTACTGTAGCATAACGGCCAGCTCTGATGTTACAGGGTCACTCGTTCACCACACACTATCATACATGTAGACTATGCGTTACTGTAGCATAACGGCCAGCTCTGATGTTACAGGGTCACTCGCTCACCACACACTATCATACATGTAGACTACGCGTTACTGTAGCATAACAGCCAGCTCTGACATTGCAGGGTCACTCGCTCACCACACACTATCATACATGTAGAGACTGCGCGTTACTGTAGCATAACAGCCAGCTCTGATGTAACAGGGTCACTCGCTCACCACACACTATCATACATGTAGACTACGCGTTACTGTAGCATAACAGCCAGCTCTGATGTTACAGGGTCACTCGCTCACCACACACTATCATACATGGTGAGACTTCGCGTTACTGTAGCATAACAGCCAGCTCTGATGTTACAGGGTCACTCGCTCACCACACACTATCATACATGGTGAGACTACGCGTTACTGTAGCATAACAGCCAGCTCTGATGTTACAGGGTCACTCGCTCACCACACACTATCATACATGTAGACTACGGGTTACTGTTGCATAACGGCCAGCTCTGATGTTACAGGGTCACTCGCTCACCACACACTATCATACATGTAGACTACGCGTTACTGTAGCATAACAGCCAGCTCTGATGTTACAGGGTCACTCGCTCACCACACACTATCATACATGTAGACTACGCGTTACTGTAGCATAACAGCCAGCTCTGATGTTACAGGGTCACTCGCTCACCACACACTATCATACATGTAGACTACGCATTACTGTAGCATAACGGCCAGCTCTGATGTTACAGGGTCACTCGTTCACCACACACTATCATACATGTAGACTACACGTTACTGTAGCATAACAGCCAGCTCTGACATTGCAGGGTCACTCGCTCACCACACACTATCATTCATGTAGACTACGCATTACTGTAGCATAACGGCCAGCTCTGATGTTACAGGGTCACTCGTTTACCACACACTATCATACATGTAGACAACGCGTTACTGTTGCATAACGGCCAGCTCTGATGTTACAGGGTCACCAGAATGAATGACGCTGCAGATGAAATCTTTGAGCAGGCAAGTAGTGGTGCCTCTAAGACCTACCCGAAGCAGTGCTCAGCCCTGAAGAAAGGCGGCCATGTCCTTCTCAAGTCGAGGCCGTGCAAGATTGTTGAAATGTCCACATCCAAGACCGGCAAACATGGACACGCCAAGGTAGGGAATGGGTCGATCTCATTTGAAGGAACGTTTCAGAAAAGCATATACATTTCAATCATGATGTCACCAGGAAAAGTATCATTCAGACATTGGAGCCTATCTGTTACCAAAAGCAAGGTGACTTTGCTGGAGACAAATGGCATTAACTCATTTTCATAATGTTATAAATTTTTGATAAAACATTCTTCCGTATCATTGCTAAATTTGAGAAAGAATCTTTAGGACATTTTTTATGGCAAAAACCAATGCCCAAGAAATGAAATGTAAAACCCTGTGTATTTAACAATCAGAGCTAAGTACTAGCCCATACTTGTCAGTTGTTATTGTCGATTCACAAATTGAAACGATGTTAACCCAGAAATCTGTGAGTGAAAGTACCCTGTGTGATACCAACAAATGACCAACACAGTGGTGGTATACAATTTACACTTGTCGTACAAAATTAACTAGGTTTACAAATCAATACAAATTACTGCACAGCAATTACAATGGCGGTACACAATCGAGTGGCGCGTGAAGACGCCGGGGTAGAATAGGTCTTCAGCAACCCATACTTGCTGTAAAAGGTGACTATTCTTGTCGTAAAAGGTGACTAACTGGATCGGGTGGTCAGGCTCGCAATTGCGTGGATTGATGCTCATGCTATTAGTCACTGGATTGTGTGGTCCAGACTTGATTATTTACAGACCGCCGTCATATAGCTGGAATATTGCTGAGTGCGGTGTTAAACAACCAACACAATTGAGTGGTAGTACAATATTCAATGAGAGTGTATAAGGTGATGGCAGTGGTCAGTATCAAATACAAAAATACAGGGGTGATAACAAAAATACAGTGGCGATAACAAAAATACAGTGGCGATAACAAAAATCAGTGATAATAGTATATTCACCTAGCAGCGACAGTAGTCAAGCTTCCAGGATGGACCTAGGCAGGAAATCTTGGGTGATGAATGATCTTCACACGGAAGCTGGTCTTGATGTAATGAAATGTGGGAGAGATATGAGAGGCACAGGCTTGTCCCCTTATATACAGTCTAACTAGCTACTTAAAATTTCCACAGTGACCTCACAACATAGTATATTCCACGTTTCTATAACACTCTATCACAGTCCACGGTATTCCGGAAGCAAATACAATGAGCTTTGACCAAATCTCAACAGAAACGATATAGGGGTGAGAATCTTCCTCAGATCTGCGAATTTTAGTGACAAATTTGTTAAAATCTCATGGCTTCCCCCTAAACAAATTATGGACCATGCCCCATTACAAAGAAGTTTCACCTGAAAATGAAAATATCCATTCTCATCCCTCAATGTAATACTGTTACAACCTTGACTTAATAATCAAATAAACTGCCATATGACACAGTAGATTTTGGTGTTATTATATGGACTAATCTGAGCTTACTGGACTGAACAGATTTTTACTAGACACAGGCTTCGGACTAGTGACTATCATTACAGACTGATCGTGGTGATATGACAAGCATATTTCTTTTTTGATGACATTTACATTGTGTTGTAACATGTCTGTTCTACATTGTTGCAACATGTCTGTTCTACCTTGTTGCAACATGTCTGTTCTACACTGTTGCAACATGTCTGTTCTACATTGTTGCAACATGTCTGTTCTACACTGTTGTAACATGTCTGTTCTACATTGTTGCAACATGTCTGTTCTACATTGTTGTAACATGTCTGTTCTACACTGTTGCAACATGTCTGTTCTACCTTGTTGTAACATGTCTGTTCTACATTGTTGCAACACGTCTGTTATACACTGTTGCAACATGTCTGTTCTACATTGTTGCAACATGTCTGTTATACACTGTTGTAACATGTCTGTTCTACATTGTTGCAACATGTCTGTTCTACACTGTTGCTCTGTTTCAGGTTCACCTTGTGGGCCTAGACATCTTCACTGGGAAAAAGTATGAGGATATATGCCCTTCAACACACAACATGATTGTGCCGACTATATCACGATTGGATTACCAGGTAAGTGTGAGACATCTGCGTCCCCCTTGCGGTTCCATGCTTTGACTGTTGATGTGCACATGGTTTGAAAAGGCCTGGAACTTAAGTATGTCTTGAAAAGGCATTTGCCTTGAAACAGCACTGAAAATAATCATGACTTGAAAACTACACATTGGTTATATTATTTTAGATAAACCATTAAATTTATTATGGAACACCTAGGGAATCATTATGACTGCCAGCTTCAAGAGGCTTGGCAAAACCCTGGTATTTCTACAGAAAATACTGGAGCAGCTGACTGCACCTCTGTTAAGTGGCTATCTTTGTTGATCGTTTGAATACCATATTCCACGATCTTATCACTAACAACTTACAGGGAATCTGATTACATGGAAGGCTGATGAGGCGCTAACTTTGAAGAGTTTGTATACTAGCTAGTCAATATCTAGTATTTAGTATCACTATCAATGAGAAAAGACAGTTCTGACAGTACATGAAATGTGACTTTGGAGTACCACTTGTAGTAGTATGTCAATATATCAGGCATTCAATGAGTTGCAGTTGTTAAAAAGTATTATATGGATAGAAATTTCAAAAGGCCAGTAGTCGATCATGAAAGTCTTGTCGATGGCATGCATAACAATCAATATTTTCTAAAGTTATGATTAGTTATGAACAAAACATTCCAAACCTGCCGACTCCAGATTGGAGTAACTTCCCTTTGGTTTGAGTGGCGACTGGGAGGAAAATAGCTGACTTGGAGATTGTCAGAAATAACTTGTTCATTTCTATTACATCAGTTAATAGAATTATAGCCCCAATCAAAACCCCTTCCAGTACATGTAGTAGTCAATATTCTTTTGTACGGACCTGAACCTAGGATCTTTTAAAAGATTATTTCAGAAAGACGACTGTGTTTGAGCCAAATGTGGACAGATATTATTGCTTTAAGATGATATTCATAATACTGCGTCCCTTAGGCATGTCAGAAACTTATTTTCAATTTCGAATTCGAATTCTGCTGTTATTTGTGCAGGCAGGTTTGATCAGATTGGTAAACCTCCAGCTTTCCTCCCACACCAAGCTGATGTGCAGTGATATAGCTGAAATATTATGCTGTGAAAAGCAGTGTTGAGCCAAACTCAGGCTCAGGAGAGGCTGACAGGACTTACTTTTAGGGAAAATGTCCCGCGAGAACTAGTGTTTGATTATGTCACACGGTACATTTCATGGCTGAACGCACAGGGATATTGTTGGAATATTGCTTAAAGCAGCATGAGAGCTTAGAGTTAGTCAGTAACCTGTGCTTGTTGTAAGAGGCGACTAACGGGATAGGTGGATGCTTGTCATCATATCCCACTTGAATGCCTCTGTGGCCTATTGGTAGAGCATCAGCCCTGAGAGTGGAAGATTGGGGGTTTGATCCCTCACCGTGTCATACCAAACATTAAAACATAGTACTTGCTGTTCCCTGTGCTCGGCATTAAGTGGATAAAATAAGGTCTGGTCGGCTCGGAGTCAGTGTACAGTGTGTGTGGGGTATTCATGTTAAACTGCTGCAAGGTACCTCAGTGAGCTAGCACTATAAATCGGCATTAGTCCGGACAAGCAGCAACACGCACGCACTCGCGCATGCATGCACACTCTAGGGTTTGTCACATGGGGGCACACATGCACGCACACAGAACGCTCCATAAGTCCAGTTATCTTGAACGTGCAAAACACGCACACTGTTACTCTTGTCTTTTGTTTCAGTGTTTAGGTGTACAAGACGGATATCTGTCCCTGCTTGACGATAAGAGCATAACACGGGAAGATCTGCGCCTCCCAGATAATGATATTGGTCAAGACATTCAGAAAAAGGCTGATTTGGGAGAAGACTTTATGGTAGGTTTAACTTCTTTCCTTTTTTGATGACATGGTGATGAACTAAGCTAAATGGACACAGCAATTGCACCCTGTGCCCAGTAGGATTAAGATGGCCCCATGAAGATGCGGGGTAGAATAGGTCTTCAGCAACCCATGCTTGCTGTAAAAGGTGCCTATGCTTGCTGTAAAAGGCAACTATGCTTGCCGTAAAAGGCGACTATGCTTGTCATAAGGGGCAACTAACGGGAACGGATGGTCAGGCTCGCTGACTTGGTTGATGCATGTCATCGATCCCAATTGTGTGGATCGATGCACATGATATTAATCACTGGATGTCTGGTCCAGACTCGATTATTTACAGACCGTCGTCATATAGCTGGAATATTGGTTAGTGCTACGTTAAACAAGAAACCTCTTGTTCACCAAAGAGTATGGATGATGAAATGACCTAATACTACTCAAAAGAAGTTAAGGAACACCCAAATTTTACATGTAACTAAAATGACGCTTTATTATACCAGGAGAAATTTTGGTTTTTAACAGCACAATGTCTCAGCTTGTGATAAACATACATACAAATCAAAAAGAGCATCACAGACGTAATTAACATTAAATGTGTCACTAGCGAATAAATGCTCAATTTATCACAAAACTTATTATACAGCCTGGTACTAACTGGTATAAATGAATTCTGGGCCCTGCTTCTTCTCAACATTGGTAGTCGTAGTTGGAGGACAGAAGTAAGTAGTTGATACTACGAATGTAGAATATTCGAGACTCGCTTAATATTTTTTTGATTATTAACTAGTTGCTGTTCATAAATGCAGAGCGGGCACAGGTGGCCCAGTCATCTAAGGTGCCGTGATTTGCTGTGCAGAGTTGCATCCCTTGGTCACGGCAGAAACCTATGATTGTGTGTTTGAATCCTGGATTGCCCCGATTATGTTTCTAGGTTTGTCAGCACCATACCCGTGCTCGTGGGTTTCCCCGAAGTGGTAAATGTCTGAGACTTGCATCACTTTGGGCTTTCCTCCCACATTAAGCTGACATGGCGCATTATAACTGGAATGCTGTTTAAAGCAGCATTAAACCCAACTGACTGACTCACTCACTCATAAATACAGCCATCTTCCCGAGGCAAGAGCATTAACTGACTTTAAAAGCCCAGTTTCCACCCTCGCTGAACTAGGCTGGAATTCATGGGTTCGATCGTAGCACCACCAGTGGTTATTATGAGTTATGTCCCTTCTAAGCCTGTCCTATGGACCAACCCATCCATCACTTGCATTTGCTTCAAACAAAATGGTGTCGCATAGTGAGGACGATCTGATCGATAATCAAGATCTATATTGTGATAAAACGGGTCTTGCATCGATAAGTGCATCAAATCACGCGAGCACCTTCCAAAACGATTTGGAAAATATCTGTTGTTGTTGCAATCAACCCAAATCTGCATGACAGTTTACGAACCGCATTTTGATTTCGTTGTGAGATTTTGATTGGACTATGCATATACTCGTTAGTCCAGCCAAACTGTAACTCCATAATACCAGCCTAGGTCGGCAAGGGTGAAGCTGGACTTTTATAGTCAGTTGACTCTCTTGCATCGGGAAGATGAAGTACAGCTGATGTCCTGAAGAGTGATGCCAATACTTTTATTTGATGTGTTACAGATTTTAAACAGTTTGTATTTGTTGCGAACAGGCAGGTTTCCGAGCCAGCTTGTAAAGTTAAAAGTCAGAATACTTAAAATAGATGTTTTATAAAACATTAACATGAAGTCAATTTGAAAATGTCTCAAACGGCGCTGGATTCAAATATATTTGTCAAAACTTTGCTAGTAGATACTTAACATGCCTGTTTCTCTACAGGTCCATCAGAACACAATCCCACCTCAGTATTTCGATGAAACGGGTAACATTGAAAATAGATAAATCACAATTTGCCAACTACCACTGAGTGTGGACCTACTTTGTGCACCTCGTGTCACAGTATTATAGTAAGATAGTGATGCCTATTCTATGTACGGAGTAGTGTTAGGCTCATGCTTCGTGCTGTCATTGGTCATATTTAGCCAATCATCAAATATTTTTCAGAAATATATGAAAACCTTCATCTCGGACACTTTTTGTTGTTGATATACTATTTACTCTTAGTGGCAGATTAACTACAGGAATATGAAAGACTTTGGTGGTCCTTAACATCTTTTGAGTAGTGTATGTGTGACAATTTCTGTTATTATTATGTGACTTTTTCTTGTGATTCAAGGTGACGGTTCAGAAGGCGATGGATGATGAAATAGTCGTTGCCCTCAAATCGATGAAGACCAATGACTAAACAAAAACATGGCCATGACATGAATGGTATCCTGTGTGAACTGTGAGAAATCGGAGTAATTCAGTATCATTCTGGACACCCCTAGATTATTATAAATCTTACCATCTAGAGGGAGGCTGCAGTTTGCCCTTATTATGTGTTTTACAGAAAATATCTGGTCAACCTTGAAGCCAAATACACATTCAGGTCAGAAACACCGGTACTGTACTAAAGTGATGAAATTGTGACTTATTATCTAAGTTTTTTCACTATTCATCTGTAAGCATGGTAAGGGACATATATCTATCAGTAATCGACCAAGGCTTTAAATTAGTTCTGTGTTAAGAATATTTCATCCTGTTTATGCTACTTTGTGTTTGTTTTTTTCTCTCATCTGACTTGTGTAATAAAATTCTGTATTCAAACTTGTGAGAAAGCCAATAAATCCATGGTTGGATTGAACACATTGTTTTTGTTGCTTTTCTTTCTTTGTGACCAGCTACATGGCGATGGTCTGTTAATAAAGAAGTGTGTCCCAGACAATCCAGTGATTGACATCATGAGAAACGATCTACGCAATTGGGGTACGATGACATGCAACAACCAAGTCAGCGAGCCTGACCACCCGATCATGCATTGTCGCCTTTTATGGCAAGCATGTGTTACCCTGGATCTTCACGGGTTGTCTCCTTGGGCTAGAGAATAGAGCTACCAGGTCTATGGTTTGATCCCGGACCGCGTCTTAACTAAAAGATGCTAAAGCATGGTACTCATTACCCTGCCTGGCGCTCAGCACTAAGGGGTTAAAACAAGGACTGGTCGGCTGGAAGATACTGTGTCCGAGTGGTGTATCTCGGTGGAGACACACCCACACGTGTATGCGAGTCGCTGTATAAGTTCACTGATCAAGAACGCTACGTTATACCACACTTTAACTCTTATTATGGTTCGATATAAACTGATACCCACAGTGAAATTAGGATTTATGTTTGTGTGGATGATGAGATGACTGAAATCGATATCGATCCAGAAGCAGTCAGCTGCTTGGGCATGGTTGTATGCTTGGGTTTAGATGTGATTGTTTAGCCCAGTTGTCTTAGGCGCCACGATTTGTTGTGCAGAGTTGCTTCCCTTGGGCACGATAGACACCTATGATCGTGGGTTCGAATCCTGGTTCGCCTGTTTCTAGGTTTGTCGGCACAATAACAGTGGGTTTCACCGAAGTGATAAACGTCGGAGACCTGCATCACCTTGGGCTTTCCTCCCACATTAAGCTGAGCTGCGATATAACTGTTATACTGTTAAAAGCGGTGTCCAGCCCAACTCACTTATTCCGACAGAGGATGGCTAAGAAATATTTAAGAACTAAACGACTCGTCATTGTTTATCGTACAGCTCCAAGGGGTTTGTTCTCCCTGCAGTGTTTTATTGTATGATGTACAACGACCATGAGTCGTTATTTCTTATACGAGATATCAGCATAATGTCCAGCCTTTTTAAGGATACTGATAAAATTTACAAGCATTAATAACATCTTTACCCGCATTTTTTATAATGATGACTCCCTCAACAGAATCCGACTTCGGCAATGACGGACAAGTCCATTTTATGAACAGGTGGGTTTGGTATTGTGTAACAATCTCATCTGTTCCTTTTTTCCTGATACCTATTGTCATATCTCTCCCACTTTTGGATACGATCGTTCGCCCACAGCGTTTATCTGCGTACCCCAGCTAAATATATGTGGAACAACTCACTGGACACTTACCTTTCATAAATAACGTCGTCCAGTATATGACGTCATCAAGTTGCGAGCGCATATTCGAATCTCCAGAAATATTCATGATAGAACAATGTTTCATCGTTTAAATAAACCACGCTTCGTTCTTCACTGCTCTTTGCGATTTATCGCGGAGCTATCTTTTATAATAAGGCACCGGAATTAGCTGTGCAGATTTGCGTTCCTTGGGCAGGTATGACTATGAGCTCGAGCCCCAGTTCGCCCCGGTGATGCTTCTCCGTGTATGTTCTTTGTTTGGACAAGCACCATCCCCGCGCTCATGGGTTTCACCAAAGGGAGCTTTCCTCCCACAGAAAGCAGACGCGCCGTGATTTAACAAGAAAACTCACCCGTAATTACAATAACCTTTGGTTTCGCCATTGCCGTTGATGCGCACGTAAAATCACTATATCTCGTGGCGTGCGCTCGCGAATTTGACTTGACAAAGTATCACTATGGTCACACTAGACCTCCTCTCCTGTTCTGAAGGGGCGGTCGGGTAGCCTAGTGGTTAAAGCTACATAATTAATAGCTTAGGATAAGCCCCTTAATGATACGAAAACCAATGCATATATACACCTCGTCATAAATATCGCACAACCCACCTTTTTTCACTAAGTAAAACTGGATCTTCAACTTCATAAAAATGGTGCTTAGGAAAGCACGTTAAACTGTTTATATGGCCTCATGTGAGCGTTCAGTCAGAAAATTGACAACACAAGACCGAATTTGAGCACTAATTGAGGGTTTAATTGTAGCAAACTAAAGTTCACTAAAATCACCGTGAAATAAGGTGAAATAAGTATGGCTGCCGGAGTCGTTACAACAGACACACAACACAGTTCACATTGCATTAATGTCGAACACAATAGTAAGGTCCACAATGACTGGCTAACTCAGTATCTGGTGTAACCGCCTCGCACTTGGATAACATGTTCTACACGCTGTCTCATGCTGGTCACCAGACGTCTGAATCCCTGTTGGGGGATTTGCTGCCACTCATCATGCCATGCATGGGTCAATTCCTGAAGGTTCTGAACTGGAGGATCCCTTGCTCTCACCCTACGTCCCAAAATGGCCCACAAATGCTCAATAGGATTAATGTTTGGACTTCAGGCAGGCCAGGGTAGTGTCTCAATGGCGTTGTGTTGGAGATGCTGAACAACAGCTCGAGCACGATGTGGTCTGGCATTTATCGTCCACGAAGACTGGACGTGTGGCGAGAGCATGGTTATCGAAATGAGGCACAACAGCACCGTCCAGGATCAAGTTCTGGTACCTCTGTCCATTCAGTGTTCCGGGAACTGTGATGAGGTCAAGTTTACAATCATAGGAACAACACCCCCACAACATGACGGATCCACCCCCAAAAGGAACATCAGCTTGAATGTTCCATCACAAGCTGTGCCTCTCTGCCTCCAAACTCGTGCCCTTTCGTCTGTATGATGCAGCAAACATCTGCTTTCATCGAACCAGTGGATCCTTCTCCATGTCCTCAGGTTCCAGCGAGCACGTGCTTGGCACCAGGCTAAACGGACATGGCGGTGCTGATTTGTGAGGAGTGGACGTCTGATTGGTCGTCTTGTTCTCAATCCTGCAGAATTTAGGCGTCGTCTGATGGTGCTGATAGACACTCTGTTGTATGGATGCCACCCATGTCGACAAGTAGACTTTGGGCTTCGTCTGGCTTGGCGTACGAGAGCACGATCTTCCCTGTCATTGGTCTTTCTGGGACGTCAAGACCTCGGTGCATCCTTCACTTCACCGGAAGCAGTATGCTTACGTATTAGCCTGCTGATGACAGTGTGATGAATGTTCAGTTGTGCTCCAATAGCACGACATGACATACCAGTCTGGTGCATACCAATGATTTGCCATCTTTGGTTCAGAGGCACTGGACACTTGGGCATTTCACCGGTTGGTCAAAATAAAGCTTAATTTATGGCTAAAACCAAATTTTAGCCTGTCTGCCAACATAACATACGCCAAAAGAGGCTATGTGCATACTGCATGTTTAGCAAACCGACCCCAGGTACAAGCATGCTCAACGCAGGCATGCACGTGCAGCTCGGAAAAGGGTTTGTTTGTGATAGTATGTATACAGATGGTGTAGTATATGAAATATGTACTTTTAGTTTAAAAAAACGAAAATTATATTTTCTACTTTTACTTTAAAATGTGTGGTGCGATATTTATGACGAGGTGTATATGTACCGGACAGAAAAGTTAGTGATCATGAATATATCTGGAGATAAGTTTTTTTAGGGAAAACTGAGCACATAATTCGTAAAAAAATATCCCCATAGTTTTCATTCGCTTTCTTTGTTCAGTATATAAAAAGACATACATTCGGTGAAAAACGAGCTCGAGAATAAACACAATCGTTTGAAAAGTGACCAAAAGTGATATACCAATATGTTGCCGAAACAAATGTCGAGGACCAAAAAGATCTCGAGGTGACCTGGTTGATGGTGTGTGTTCGTACCCCAACGACGCGTCCGCCTGAAGAGCGGAAGGTCCGAGGTTCGATCCCCGCCCGCGGCATACCAAAAGAAGTTGGAAGATGGTACTTGTTGTCGCCCTGTCTGGCGCTCGGCATTAGGGGCTAAAACAAGGACTGGTCGGCTCGGAGTCAGTATACTGTGTCTGAATGGGGTATTCATGTTAAACTGCGGCATGGTATCTCAGTGTGCTGGCACTATAAACCGGCATCAGCCCGGACCAGTACAAACAACCGCGCACGCACGCACGCACGCACGCACGCACGTACGTACATTCACGTCGCTATAAAAGTGCAATAATTCAACGCGACGTTAAACCCCATTTCACCTCACCTCACCTCACCTCGCCTCACCTCACCTCACCAAGGGATGTTGCGTGTGTGTCTGCTTCAGGCTCGATTAGTTTAACAAGCAGCCGTCATAAAGCTCGATTATTGCTCAGTGGGTAACCTCCCAAAACCCCTACATCCCATTTCCCCTACAGCTTAAGACAACAAAGTTCAAGGTCCATGGCACTGCTAATCCCTAGTCTGTTACCTATTTCATACAATGGAACAACCCAAGAAACTCGAATAGACTGAGATAAATATTTAATTACGATTACGATATTATTCAAAATTCATAATACATTATAATAAAAGGTTCATTTTTCAAAATTCATAATACATTATAATAAAATGTTCATTTTTCAAAATTCATAATACATTATAACAAAATGTTCATTTTACATCTCAACTGTAAATCGTGTCATCTCAGTTTCTCAGTGTAATAATTGCTTCTTCCTATTGTTGTTTGTAATTTCTAAAAATTGTCTTCTCATCATACAGGCATCTTTCATTACACTTACATTATTTTTATTTTTTTTAACTTTCCTTTAAGTCCCCTAATCCCCTAAAGCTCTATCCCTTTCATTTCTACTACCTCTACTCCAGACCTTAATCTCTCCTTTAGGTGAGTTCATAATGCCAGACAGGTAAATGCCGCGTGTTGTTTTAACTAATTGTAGGGGAACTGGGTTGTAGGGGAAATGGGATGTAGGGGTTTTGGGAGATAACCGCTCAGTGTGGTGTAAACAAGAGATGAACTATTCCGAGCTTGTACGCTTGATACGGTGGAGTATCGTCATAGTGCGGTTATGCTAATGGTTATGTTGCAAGGATACCATGAGTTCAACTAGTTATTTCAG